AGTTTGCTAGAATATTTTAGTAATACTTCTCACACTACACTTGGTAGATACAAAAGTCCAGAAACTTATTTCAGCTATTCTTCTGTGCAACATATTTTAAGGTTTTTCATATATCCTGATTTCTCAGATTCTTTACCTACAGAGTAGTAGTAACCTGATAGTATTAAATGGAAACTAACCTAATTCATCCAAGTAATTGACCATTATGGAGCATGAAAACCCACATAAAAGCAGATTTTTTAAATCATGAGATCAACAATTCACCTGTTAATATAAATACTATTCTTCTATTTAAAACATTTGTAAAACTATGCTTCCATTTAAAACATTTGTAAAAGTAAATATACTATTCATTAAGTTACTTTTCAATTATACTGTTTACTCCCATTGGAATTTTACTAACCCACACAGGGGAGCAATCTTCTGGATATACTAAAATAAGTCATATATTGTAAATACACACACACACACACACACACACACACACACACACATCAATCAGACACCAAGAAAAAGATGTTCACAGTTCTCAAATGAAAAATTTTGTCAGGAATGTTGCCTTGGTCATAGGAGTCAACAAGGACGCTCTGACCTCTACCCCAAATGTCCCCCCCGTTGTGAATCTCCAACAGGTATGTGGCACCTGCAGCCTTAGTTATGAGGCCTATTTTACCTCCAGCGGGGAAATGGGCAAAGGGGAAGCAGAAGAGCTGGGAATAGTTTTGAAGCGGGGCCCCTTCTCTGGAACACCGAGAGGTGCGGCTAATTCCAAATTTTCCACGAGATGTGGGAAAGAGCCAATTTAGTGAGCCGTGCAAGTTTACCGAGAGCCACATTTTTGAGACTTAGGTTCATAGCCACATAACTCTGAAATTCTCTACCTGCTTTCTGCGCAGGTAAGAGGAAATAAATCTAATTACTTACCTAACCTGAGGAGCCGAAAGAAAAGGGCGGGAAAACGCGGTTGCCTCCACAACTCCCACCACAAGAACTCGCAGCGCCTCTACGTAAGAGAGCGCATGTGCAGAGTCGCCCCGGAGCCTGTCGGGAGGTGGGCACGAGAGTTCCAGCCGCTCAGGATGCTGGAACTTGCCTGCTGTGGCAGCCAGACTTGGGCCGCGCATCTGCTGGACATGCATGTCTCAGGCGCGGTGAGGTCATGAATCCGACTGATCCTGGTCTAGGTTCCCGTATTTCGAGCCCCACAGATACTGTCATTGAGTACCGTTCACTGCCCTCCGCCTTAAATGGGGGTAATACTGATGTTAATCTCCTGAAGGACAGAGGCGGCCATTTGAAAAGCTAGCAGAGCTGCTTATGAGTACACACAGGTGTTTGTCCTGGGAAAATATGGGGAGTAGCACTCGGGCGGCACTGTCTTTCTTAGTTCAGAAAAAATTCCCCAAAACTGTGTCATACCTAAAATTGGACAGCTATCACCTCCGTGTTGAGGTAGACTCCTGCCATTTTATTTTTTGTTTATCTTGAAATAGACATCTTTCCAGCTTTTACACAACCTCTATATAAACGGAAACAAAACAGAACTTTCCTTGATTGAAAGTCTTCATTGTGAACATTCATTCCTGCGCTTGAAATGAAGGATCAGGATCAGGCATTACAGCTTTTTTGAGGCGACCTGCCTGGACCTGCTTGTGATTTTTTTAAATGTTGCTACGTGTTTGACCCTAATGCTATTACCTGTTACTTTTTCTGATCTGTACTAACTCCATGATTTTTTTTTAACTGAGTAGGGTTCCTCCAGATATAAGCCTTAATGCTGGTTTGTTTGTTTGTTTTTTTGCTGTCACCTTTTCAGATGATGTGACTCCAGTATGAATTTGTAAGATGCAAGCCAGTGAATCAGCAACAATGGATGCCAAGCCCTGCAAACTCTCTATGGGTCGTGACTCTGTAATACTAAACCTTTCTTCTTCAAACAAAAACCTATCTTAATGAAACAACTTTCTACTAGGTTTTTGCTTTTAGTGGGGTTTTTTTTCTTTTGTCTTTCTCTCTTTGCAACTTGTTGACAGTAATTAGAAAGGGTCACCTAGGCCTTTGTATACACTTCCTAAAATGCCTATCTTCTAAAAATTTAGAGAGGTAACTCAAATTAGAGTGGTACAAATCAGATTAAAAAAAAATTAGAGGTTCATGTGTAAAATATGTAATCCTTAACATCTATTTTGGCTATCTGAGCCTTTTGTGCATTTTCTGGATTTGACTATGTCAAATGTACAAATATGAAAATACAAAAGCATACATTGCCATTTAAAGTCATAAAACACAAAGCATTCAAATTTCACCAGCACAAGTACCTAACTTTGTGATCCTAGCCAAGTTACTTTTGTTCTGCAATATTCCTTCCTAGTTCATTAAGATTATTCCACTGATTCCCAAAACCTAGTGTCCCTCACACCATTTTGTTTCCTCTTTCCAACCCATTTGGCCAGAAGCCTGTACAAGTTACTGTATCTCTTTCTCTCTCTCTCTCCATGTGTATATATACACACACATCTATGTAAAGGGGGCTTAGTCTTAATATCACAGTAGTCTTAATATCACACAAGTCTGGAACACCAGGAACCAACCTGCTTCTTGTTAGCATGTGTCCTGGTCTCTCCTAGCATAGATAAACCCTTCACTGGCTTGTTTCCAGGGTGCTCCTAGAGGTAAGACCACTGAAATCAATCAAAGCTGAGATACAGAGAGACCCATTCACCAAAGTTTTTGATTTCTTTTACATATGTTTATTGATTTTAGAGAGGGAAAGAGAAACATCAATGCTAGAGAAACAGATTAGTTGCCTCCCATACGTATCCCAAACAGGGATTGAACCCACAACCTAGGTGTGCCCTAACCAGGAATCAAATCAAATCCCCAAACTTATGGTGTACAGGATGATGCTCCAACCAACAGAGCCACACCAGCAAGTGCTCACCAAAGTTTTTAAAATATTATTAAATATCAAGCATACCAAAAATGTATGAATGACCATCACTCAGCATTAATAAACCCAAACCTTTCTCACTTTCGATATATTTTAATAAACACATTACAGATACAATTGAAGGCTTCCCTGTGTATACCTCAACTGCATTTTCCTCCTACCACTACAAAAGTAAAACAAGCCAGATTTGGGTGTTTATCATTCTCATACGTGTTTTTACACTTTAGTATATGTGTACATATTGGTCTTTGTTTTCATGTTCTAAAACAGCTAAATCTTACCACATACCACATATCTCTTGGCCATTTTAACTCATCATTGTTTTTGAAATGTAGTTAAGATAATACACATATTTTGTATCCATTTTAACAACCAAATACTACAAATATACAATTTATTCATTTTCTAATGGACACTGGTTCCCAGTTTTTAACAGTTAAAAATCTGACATTAACTTTCTGTAATGTCTTCTTGAATACACATGCCAAACATTCCTGTAGAATATAATACCCAAAGATTGGGTCAGTGTATAAGCATCTTCAGGTAAGCTAGTTGTTGACAAATCACTCTCCAAAGTATGACTTAAATTTCATGGCCATCAGTAAAGATGAGAGCCCCTTGATCCAGACCCATCAGCATGTGGAAGTGTCAGGTTTTAATTGTTGCCTATCTGATGGCAGTGAAATGGTTATCTCAATGTTGTTTTAATTTGTAACCCTTTAATTAGTAGTGAGATTAAGCATCTTTTCATGTGAATTACTTAGGAGTCCTCATCTGTGACATGCCCATTCATATTTTGACTATTGTCTTGATTTATATGGAATTTTTGTCACACACAAATGTCACATGGCACACAAATTTATCACTTTCCCTTTTGTGCTTATGTCTACTCCAATGTCATATCTTTGCTTTTCTATATGTTTAAAGTTCTCCTTTTCATCTTTAACCCATTTTTCTAAATATAAGGAGTCAGGATAAACTGACAGCACAATTTGTGCTTATACATCACTAATATTTAATTACAGGTTATATTCACCTTTCAAAAAATGGTATATTTTTAAAATGTTTATTTATTGATTTTAGAGACAGGAAGGAAAAGAGAAACATGGATTTATTGCAGGACTTATATTTATGCATTCATTGGTTGATTCTTTTACGTCCCCCGACCAGGGATCAAACCCACAACCTTGGCACATTGGGACCAACTGCCAAGTTGGTAGCTCTAACCAACTGAGCTACCCAGCCAGGGTCTCAAAATGATATCTTTACCAGAAGTTTCATTTTAATCTTGTTTAGATATTCTAAGTACCTATCAGCTGTATTGTGAAATAATAATTTTCCTTCATTATCTTTGAATCTTAAACTGTTAGCATCATCTACTCTAAAAATAATTTGATACTTTTAATGGAAAAATCTTAATCTAAAGAATAGGTTTCATATTCTAACAGAATTTATAAGAGCTGCAGATAAATTTGTATGCTTCTAGTATAAGCATGAGTATTAAATTTCATTCCAAAACACAATGAGGTATACCAGACTTCTAATATTTGAATGTGTACTTTATACACTTTGCATGGTAAATACGCCTTCATGAATGTTAAGTACAGTATATAGGGCAAAAACTTTATGTTAGCCAAAACAACTGAGAATATTTCATTAAATATAAAGCAAAAATAATGACTTTTTAACCAAACTTGACTATATGTACAATTTAAACCAATGATAAATATCCATGCCGTAAGGCTATAAAATGTTCATAATAAAACATTTCCTATTAAATATCAGAAAGCTTTTATATGCCTATTCCTCACATACATAGGGTGTTTTCACAGCCATTCTTTATTGTCTCTTAAAGGATCAAACATCATAATCAGACATTAAGAATTTTAAGTAGACTCACTGGTACCCTGATAGTTTAATGTACCTATGCATACATTTTACAGAGTCAAAATTTACATCCCAGTTATTCCGTGTAAATGTCTTGCTGAAATCCCATTGAAATGGTTGCTGTTTTCCAGGGATTAAAAAAATAAAATAAAATCAATGGAGATTTTTATTCATTTCAAATATTTTTTTACCATTTATTCTAGGCCAAGTGTTAAGGATAAGGAAGTTATCCTGCTTTCACAGAGTTTACAAAGAATCTAAGGTTGATAAATGAAAATATTTTACTCTTTCCTTTGTTTACAACCTCTTATATTTTTGCAAGTTGATTCTATAAACCATTCTGGTGAGAAAAGTCAGCTTCCATCTTTAATTTGAAGAATCATCTTCACCTTCACACTGTAAAGAAAAAGTATTTTTAATATTGCCCTGAATATGTGAATAATCACTCAGTAGAAAACTGAGTAGACCATTTAAAATTTAAACATGATGACTTCAGCAATTCATTAGAGCTCTTTCTCACATAGCCTGAGATCAGTGCTATTTAAACACTATTGTAATCAAAGGGTTCTCTATAAACTGTATCTTCATGTCACCCTGGCTGGTGTGACTCAGTGGATTGAGCACCGGCCTGCAAACCAGAAAGTTGCTGGTTCAATTTTCAGTCAGGGCACATGCCTGGAGTGCGAGCTTTGTCCCTAGTTGCGGGTGTGCAAGAGACAACCCATTGTGTCTCGTACATCGATGTATCTCTCTTTCTCCCTTTCCTTCCCCTCTCTCTAAAGATAAATAATTTTTTTTAAAAACCTATATCTTCCATGATTTAAAATTAATTTAGTTTTTTTTAATCACAGGTAAATTTTCTTAATCCAGCATTACCACCTCTTTTGTAATTGTTTGACTCCGCAAAATTCAGAAGGCACTAATGGACAGCCAACCTGTCCCATGGTGCTCTGAGTGAAGACAAGTCAGCTTCGATATATGATGGACTAAAATCCCACTACCTAAGGCTCCAAGCAGTGAGAGGAACAGCCATCAAATCTTATCTCCAACCATTTTAACAAACATTTTAATAAACAGTCTAAGAAATAGTTATTAAAGACATCAAGTGACTCTTATAAGAATCACTACACCTAAATTTTTGAAGAGTCAGTCAAGAATGAAAAGAACAATTAAATATCAACTGGTCCAGCTAGATAGACAAAATGATGAATTAGATGATAAATTAGTGGCAAAAATGATTAAGTAAAGAAAATGTTATTGGACCAATAATGTAAGGATACACACTATAGTCCTTACTATATTCTGCTTAATTCTAGAATTAAATTAGGCTTTAAGGTAGAAGATAATGAGGAAGAGGCCAATTGGAAAATGCACATAAGCAATAAACAAAGAATCTCCAACATGTTATACAGATAAAAGAAATTGCCAGGTAATGCAAAGTCTAAGATATATATACACATGAACATTGATAAAATAGCTAGCATCTATTGAGCATTTACTATATGCTTAACAATGTTCTATGTCCAACACATTTATTACCTAATTTAATCGTCAAATTCAAGAACTATTCCTTTGAATCAGATGCTAGTATTATCTTCTTCTAAGATATAAAGACTCTAAGACAGTGAGATGTTAAGAAACTTGCCAAAGTTACATAGCTGGTTAAGTGATAGAGGAAGGGTTTGAACCCAGTCTGACTTCAGAACCCATAGATAACCACTATATTATGCTAACTGTCAACATCTTTAATTGACTTTTAAAAAATTAAATTTGTAGCACCTTAGCAGAACTAGCCATGTCATAAAGCTGAATTTTTAAAAATTCATATGCACGTCAAAGCTTCTCATTTCAACATAAGCCTTACCATTAAAGAAAAATGTAGTCAGCATCTATGTGTATCCAGGAAACACATCACCCAAGAGTTTCAAGGATGGGAAAGAAGTTTCTAGAAAGAAACTGAGATCTAATTCTGGTCTCCTGAAATTTCATTTCTGTAAAAGACATAGCCAAAAGCTAAAAAAGTGTTGCAAGTGCTGATGTTACTTTGAATTATTTATATTTCTTATATTTCACCCTCATATATACCTTCATTCTCTGCTGAAACATGCAGACACAGGTAAAAAAAAAAAAATACAAGCGTGTCCCATATAGGCTGGTTAAAAATAACTTTTTAAATTATATAATATAGGAATATAATAAAGCCAGAAAATACAGATCAACGAGATCATCCATAGAATCCAATTCTAGAGAAAATCCCTAGTGTTAGAGTATACCCTTTCAGATGATTTTTTCAAGTAAATCAGTATATACAAAAGTTTAAGAAAAAGGATTATATGTATTGCTCTGTAACTTACTGTATTATAAATACTCTTCCATTTCAAGAAAGGTAAAACTGTATCATAACTTTTAAGTGGCTGTATAATTGTACTATATGAAACAAATTGATTTAACCAACTCTGGGATTCTCTTAATTTTAGACTAGTAAAATAGTGATCAGTTAAAAACCACCAAGTAGCTGATAGAATTGTATCAGTTAGCAGTGTTTTTTCTGTACTGTTTTAAATTTTTTTTTAAGATTTTATTTCTTTATTTTTAGAGAGAGGAAGGGAGGGAGAAAGAGAAGGAGAAAAAGGTTGTCTCTTGCATGTTCCCAACTGGGGACCTGGCCTGCAACCCAGGTATGTGCCCTGACTGGGAATCAAACTGACAAACTTTTGGTTCACAGGCTAGCACTCAAATCACTAAGCTACACCAGCCAAGGCTGTACTATTTTAATTTTTTTAACAAAAGATTCTTGACCCTAATTCTATCTATCTCAAAGAGATCTTTTGGTGAAAAGATCAAAGCACAACAAAGTGTTGTAGCATCAAATTCATAAAGATTTAGGAATTACTCGGGATCATAGGATAGATCCCAGTAAGCATTCCAAGAAACAGAATACAATTCCAAGTGTTTGCCCTAGCTTTACTCTGCTCGAGGCATGTGTTTAATCAGGATGGCCAGCTGAAACACAGACTTAATACGCATTTCATCATGGAAAACTGTAAATGATTGGTGAAGGGCAAGCCAACACCAGCCCCTCGTCCCTAAACCAGGGAAACCCTGTTAAGGTTAGAACTAAGGCTTTTTCAACTACCAAATTTCAGCCACTAAGAACACTGAGCCCTAAAACTTGCTAGGTGATTGGAAATCCAAATGAGGTAAAAATGAAGGTTTTTCTTTCATACTTACCTCTGGTATCAGATGAATCCAGCTTCTATTGTCTCTAGGAACGAAGTTGAACTATAGGATCTATCAACTACCTAGCTTCATCTGTGAAAAATAAATAAAAAAATAAAAAAGGTTATGATTACAAGACTTGAATGCACAACAGCCTACCCCACACGTCACACCCATACAGCCTCAAGGAAAATTAACCTCAAGGAAAATCGCTCATTCTTTATTTAAATTTCCATTCAATAATATACATGAACCCATCTATTTGCAAAATGTCATCAAATGCCCAAAGTCCCTATCAGATTATGCCAGAACTTCTACACAAGCTTAGCTTTTTATATAAATTCAAAAGTTTGAATAAAGCTGTACAATAAGCCTAACCAACTTCTGAAAGGTTGTAACAGTCAACAATCTCACAAGAGAGCAGCTATGCAAAGGGAAAGGGTCTTGTGCTGGCTGCAGAGCTAGGCAGCCACGGGAACAAACACAGGGAGATGGGGCATCAGTGGCATGGGTTACTGCCAGCCTCTCAACTCTACAGATGTGTGACTGCAGAACACATGTAACCTGTCATCAAATTCACAATAATCCTTTAAAAAGGAGAGGGGGAAGGCGGGGGGGGGGGGGGGGGGAAGAAGCTAAGATTCAGATAAGTGAGAAAATGATCCAAAATAAAAAGTTTTTTCAAGGCATGTTTCAATTTCATTTGAACCAAATATCAATTATATTTAACCTTTACTATTGGTGAACTTATCCTCACAATAAACTAAAGAAAACTTTCCCTTGACATAGCAAAATTGAATTCACACCACTTGGAGCCCAAATTGGCCACAAGATGGCAATATATGGAATTTTAATTTCCTCTTCCAGAGCACAAAGTTCATGATTGCTGGCAACCTTCACATTGTTCCCTATTCTTCACCCAATTATTAACTAGAATTTTTTTCTCTTACACTTAATGATCATTTAAAACTTATTAACTAAAATGATTACAGTTATTTTTATTATGTCCTTTTTCATGCAGCATTGTAGAGATGTAAAACTTCAGAACCTTGGCCTGACTGGTGTGGCTCAGTGGGTCGGGCGTCATCCTGTGAACTTTAGTTCAATTCCCGGTCAAGGCACAGGCCTAAGCTGTGGGCCAGGTCCCCGACTGACAGGCAACCAATAAATGTTTTCTCTCTTTCTCCCTCCCTTCCCCTCTCTCCATAAATAAATAAAATCTTTTAAAATACATACATAAATAAAACTTCATAAATATAATCTAGCTGGAAAAACAGGACTCAAAAGTAATGTCCATGGTAAATACTAAGTAAGTGGTAGAGAGACCAAGTACTGTCAAGAAAGAATCATTGGGCAAGGAAGACCGCCTAAAGAAAAATGTAGATCTTACATGAGCCTTAAAATTGCATTTATAATACTGTATTGTATATCTGAAAGTTGCTGAGAGTAGATCTTAAAAGTTCTCATCAAAAGAAAAAAATATATATATTAACTAGGTGTAGTGATGGATCTGAGCCAGACTTACTGAAATGATAATTTTGCAATATATACAAATATTGAATCATGCTGTACACCTGAAACTAAAATGATCACTTATTCCTCAATTTTTTTAAATTGCACTGTCCAGTAGGTTATACCACACACAGCCATGTAAGTTAAAATTAAATTAAAAATAAAATTCTTGCCCTGGCTGGTGTGGCTCAGTGGATTTGAGTGCTAACCTGTAAACCAAAAGGTCACCAGTGGGATTCCCAGTCAGAGCACATGCCTGGGTTGTGAGCCAGGTCCCCAGTAGGTGGCGCGCAAGAGGCAACCACACATGGATGTTTCTCTCCTCTTTCTCCCTCCCTTCCCCATCTCTAAAAGGAAATAAAATCATTTTTAAAAAAGTTAAAAAAAAATTCTTCAGTCAGAGCCATATTTTAATTGCTTAATATCCACATTAGGTAATGGCTACCATACTGGGCATTACAAATATAGAACATTTCCATCACCAAAATTCTGTGAGACAGCAGTACCTTGAATGGTAGGTATGACTAAAATCAGCTGATAAAACTATAGAAGTTGTTTTACTCAAACTTCACAATGACCTATATTTACAAGAAAATTTGCGGCTCAGAGAAGTTAAATAAAATTTTCTAATATCACCTAGATATTAAAAGCTAGGATTTAAATCCAGTTCTGTCAAAATTCCCTATTTTCACTTCAACATGACATAAGAGGCAAAGCTACAGAAGATGGTCTGCTTTGGAATGCAATAACATACTGTAGGTTGGAAAGAAACTGAGGTGTTGCACGTACCTCAGAATGCTTTAATTATGTAAAGTATTTTCAGATCAGCAGCATCTGAGATTAACTAAGGGCGCACAGACAGGAAGCAAGACAGGAAGTCAGAGGTTTCTGTGGTTTTAATGTCTACCTCAAAACTCCATGATCCAATACATCTTACAGAAGAATAATTATAGATTTAAAGGTGCAACTTCTCTATTTGTCTCACCTCACAAACAAAACCCAGATTGCAAAGAGGTCTTACCACATGGAACAAACCCTAACACACAAATCCTGATGCTTTTCCCAAAGTGTGATGCTCCATGCAGGATGCTAGTCGTGCTTCAGCAAGTGTCAATCTACCACATGGAAGCTACTTCATGTTTACTGAGTATTTATTTAGTCAAAAGTACCGTATTTTGCCAATGTATAGTGTGCCCTTTTTTGCCCAAATTTTTGAGGGAAAAATAAGGATGCGCATTATATGTGAGTAGTACTAATTCTGTACCTATATAAATGTTTTTAATTCTTTTATTTGTGCTTATGTGTTAAAAGTGTAACTCTAGAAAGCAATAACAATATCTGTAAACTAATACCCTGGAATATATTAATCAGTTTTGTTTCTAAATATAAATAAATAATTGAATAAAAAAATTTTTTAAAGGTTTTTTCCTGAAAGTTTGGACCAAAAAATGTAGGTACACATTATCCATAGCAAAATACAGCAATAGTTTGTAAATACCCCATAAATAATCAATGACCCACTCATTTTGCTTTCTGTGGGAAGTGGTTCAAAATACTGGTGCTTATGACCAAAGGGTTCATTTTATGTGAACAGATACTTCATGAATGCCTGATACAAAGTAAAAACTGTTAATACTAAACTAACTGATGCTTCTGTTTTGTTATACTACCTCTCAATTTTACTCAGTTCCTATTGTGTGTCTAGCAATTTGGGTTCAAACAGTAACTCAAAGAACCTCTTATCCTTTTTAGATAGAAAAGACATATATCCTTGTGAGAGAGAACACCTTAAGGCATCATATCTTGGTCAGAATTGAAGTACTTGCCTTTGTGGTCCCATTAGCCTGTAACTATTTCTACTGAGAATGTCCAAATCCAAGCCCACTTGATTTTCAGGGGGTCTGCAGCAGATGTTACAGAGGCTTTCACAGCACCACTTCTGGGTTGGCACAGAGTGCTGAAGACCCAGGCCTGTCTTCTTCAGTGGATTCCATCTTTAACCTGAAGCAAAGGAAAATACAAAACACTGTAGAGGAAGTATATGCAAAATTGGTTGCTTGGCACAGTTCTCTTTTAGAGACAGCTCTTCAGGGCACTACTATCAAAACAAACCCCCAACTTTTGTTCCCCAGCCACTGTCAGCTATTTTAGCCAAGAACAGTCATTGTTCTAACCTATCCGTGCAGGACAAATTCACTCAGGGCATATATGAAATAAAAGTATTGCGATCAGAAACATGACTAACCCATGTAGTTCACCCCAAGAAACCATCATTTCAATCAGTTACATTGCGGGCGGAGGAAACCAAGCGCTTTGGGTCAAAACAGCAGGAAAGAATTAACTTGAATGCAGGATGCAAGAGGAAGCCTTCCACTCTGTTAACTTGATATTTTATCTACTTCATACTTTGTCTATCTTAGAATATATAAAGCACTTTTCATATATTACCTCATTTTGCAAGTACTATGTCATCTCCATTTTAGAAATAATGTAAGCAAGGTTAGAGACTTAATGGCAGACAACTTAGCTTAGTGGTTAAGATAATGGGTTTAAGTTGGACAGAACTGGATTTGAATCTTGGGTCACCTGCATAATTGCTGTGACCTTGGGCAAGTTATGCAACTTCTCTAAGCCTCAGATACCCTTACTATAAAATGAGGGCACATACCATCTACCTCTTATAACTGTTGTGAAAATTAAATGAGGTAAAATATAAAATACTTTAATATGTTGTTTCTATTAAGTGTCCAAGATCCATCACCTGATGAGTAGAAATGCAGATATTCTGCCTAAAAATTTCACTTGTCATAAAAATCTTGAAGCCAGGAAAGTCACTTATGCACTCATAAGGTCCCTTCCAAATCCAAGGTTTGGCATCTTTTAAGAAAAAGAATTTACTTCCTCCTTCCCTTCATTCCCTACTTAATAGTGAAGACTCCAATGTATTCTATAGAAAGTTACTCAACAACAAAATCGTACTTCCATCGAAAAGAAACTAATTTCTCTTCCAATTGGCAAAGCCTCCTAACTGGAAAACTAGATGCTTCACAAGACATGATCTTAGCCTTCTAAGGCTTTAAAAATAGCTTTGGAGGAATTCCCAGAGGCTTCCATTTTTTATTTTGCATGTTTATATCCCAAAAAACATTTCTATTTTTCCTAACAATGTTAAGATATGAGTTTGCTCACTTAATACCATAATTTCAGGAAGGTATCAGCACACATTTTGCCAAGTAAGTACTGAAAGCATGCTCCTTCTGCCCTTGTGCATACAAAGACCACGTGGTTTCTCTGGTTAATGTCTTTCCTTCTCAGCATTAGATCACTCAGCACTGAAACTGACGTGGGCAAAGAGGTACTCACATAAAAACCATCAGCATGGTGGTGTTTTTAATAGAAAATTCTTTATTGCTGAATCAAGTTATTTATGGTGTTGGTTTGTTTCTAGCCATCACTATGTGTACAAAATAAATGTAAGTAGCAGGAAGCACTACACATGGAGTATGCTTACAAACAAGTATACAGGGTCTGGCACAAATAATGCCCCTTTTTTTATTACAACATCTTTTAT